TTTTTTAATAAAATTTCATATGAAATTTTTTTCCTATCCTGTGAGGACTTGTGAAAATCCGTATGTTATAAAAAAAATATATAAATTTATCTATATATAAAAATAAATTAAGATATTTTAATTTTTTAATTAAATTTTATTAAAATGGTGAAATTTAAGTTTTTTTTGCATAATTTTTTAAATAAAAACTAATTCTCATTATTTTCATTTTTATAATCAATAATCTGTTGATTTTAATGAAAGTAGTTTAATTTTTTTAATTAAAATCTTAAATTCAAGTTTTATGAATAAAAAAAATTAGTATTAAGAAGAACTACTTTTTGTGGAGTCACAAGAAAAAAAGAAAAAGAGATTACTAGATCACAACCAAAAAAATTAAAAAGATTAGTGAATATTAATCGATATTATAAAGAATAAAAGGAAAAATATTTTAAAATTATATTATTTTAATAAAATATCATAAAACCGAAACAACCTTATTTTTAATTTAAAAATTAAGATATTTTAATATTATTCAACAAAATTTTATTAAAATAATAAAATTTGGAGGTATTTTTCTTTTAATTTTTTACAATACTAATTGATACTCACTTTTCCCTTTTTGTAAAGAGATTAGTATATATCAGTCGATATTACAAAAAATTAAAAAAAAATCTTAAAATTCTGCCATTTTAATAAAGTATGCTAGCAAAAAATTAAAATAACCTCATTCCTAATTTAAAAATTAAGATATTTTAATCTTTTCTATTATAATATTATTAAAATGACAATTTTAGAATATTTTTTCGCCTAATTTTTTATAATTCAACTGAATATTCACTTTTCTCTTTTATAAATAAATTATCAATTATTTTTTATTTGCCCAATCCAATTGATTAGGCTAACTTACTCTAAGTTGTCTGGCGTAATTCCCTTTTTAGTCTTTCCCAAACCCAATTCAACAATCTCAATTTAATAAGCCAATTACCATTCGTATTAGCAGTATGTATTTGTTAGAATTATTATTACCATTCGTATTAGCAGTATGTATTAATTTGTTAGAATTAGGCATTATTCGGCTGTATATATAATGTATTTATTTGTTTGAGATGTTTTAAATGCTTTGTGCACTTGAAATCGCACTGGAGCTGCTCGACAAGCACAATGCCTCTGTGGACAAGGATCCCTATGGATTTACCTCCTGCTTCAGGACAGTCATCTTTCCAAAATTAATTCATCCATACAAATGGAGCCAAACACAAATCCAATTAGATTATTTCTAAATTTAAAGCTTAGATCACACAGTTCGTTGAGATATTCATCAAATTTGAACTAAATCAGCAACTAGATTAATAAGCAACGAGTATTAGAAATTACATGCAGACAATGCCACGACCTTTGAGTTTCATGAGTTCATGGCAGCCAGTTTCAACGGCCACAAAGCTCAGCTAGTTTCACTGGTGAGATACGAAGAGGATGATTTTGATCCAATAGAAGCCACGCTCAAGCCCTCTTCACTGTTCTTTTTGTCCTTTGATGTCTCGGCACTGGAATTCAACTTACACAAGAAAGCGAAATCATGATCGGACACAGAAATCAAAACGGAAAGACGAGATCGGGTATTTACTTGAGAGGAGATAGAGAAGGAGGTGTGGTGGAGAGGAGGAGGAG